ACGTGCATACGTATATTTTATTCTTGAATCGTTTTTCTTGTTATGAATGCATTTAATGTTGTAAGCTTACCACATAGTGTATAAACTGCTGTGATTTAAAATATTATTGTAATTAATAATATTGCATTATTGTGTTAGCAGTTTCGTTTTAAAAAAAAAAATTTTTTTTTAATTATAAAAAAAAACTATGAAGTTATTATTCAAAGTTTTTTTTGTTCATTTTTTCATTTTGGACACCCCCCACCCCACCCCCACCCCCGGATTAATTTTATCGTGTTTGAAATAATATATGTGTGTGGAATTGTAAGATGGACATTCAAATTTCGGAAAAAATTCGACTTTTGTGATAGAATGATAATTATTACTCATAAATTACTCGCTTATTTGTTATTTTTGTGTATTATTATTATTATTATTATTATTATTATTTTAAGGCCACCATTTTGCACCATCATATATTATTTTATTATTATTATTATATATTAGTTTAATATTGTTATTTGTTTTCGCAGAGAAATCAACCGACAACCGGAAAATCAATCCGCTTCTAACGGCTTTTGACAAAAAAACATGTAATCGTTTTTTTTTAAAATTTTATTTATTAAAAAGTAGATTCGAAATTTTTTTAAAATTTAATTAGCATCATTATTATTATTAATATTAATAAATTAAAAATTTTTTGTAATTAATTCAAATTGAATAAGAAAACAAAACAAAAACAAAAAAAAAAAAAATAGTTTATTGATTGTATTAGCATGTGTTCTTATCTCGTTTTATATACATATATATATTTATTGTTATATTATTATTATTATTATTATTATTATTATTATTAATGATGCCTTATGATGTTTAAACATAATAATAATAATGACTAGAGAGGCATTCATTCATATTAAGATAAAGATCGGTTGATTTGAAAACGAATGGGAAATTTTTTTTTATTTATTTATTTAAATTTTAAATTTTTAATTAATTAAATTTTTATATAATTTAAAAAAAAAAAGGCGGGAAAAATTGCTTTTAATTTATTAATATTCTACACGATATTTTATTATTATTATTATTTGGAATGAATATTTTGTCGCGATTATTAATTAATCCCTTCGTTTAAAAAAAAAAAAAAAAATTCGTTTTCTCGTCGTACGTTATTTATTTTATTTATTTATTTTTTTATTTTAAACAATTTAATTAACAAAACTTATGTATTTATATAATAATAGTTATTAAATAAAAAGTTTTAATAATTTTTTGCTAATTAAATATTTAAATATTTGCCAAAAAAATTTTTTTTTTGGCAAAAGTTTTGTTATTTAAAAAAAAAAAAAAAAATATATTAATTAAATAATTATTAAAAAAAAAGTTATTATTGTTCTATAGAAAAAAAAGAAAAAAGTTTTGTAGCACGTTGTTATTTAATTAATGTATATTATTATTATTAAATTTCTTAAAGTTAAAAAAATTTATTAGAAAAAAAAAAAAAAAATTAAGAATAATAATAATATAAATATTATACTTACTTTTAATTTTCTTCATATTCTTTCTTATAATTTTTTTTTTTTCTTTCTTTTTTTCTTTTTTTTTTTTTTTACTTTGTTTTAAAAAGGAAAAATTATTTTTTTTTAAAAAACATTTTTAATGTTTAAATGTTTAAGAATTTATTAAAAAAAGAAATATTGAAAGGAAAAGAAAGAAAAAAATTATGTAAAAATAAAATTTTAAATAATAATCAATTTATTTCTGCGTGTAAATAAGGTCATAATAAAGTTTTTAAGCAGCAGTAGCGGCAGCAGCGGTAGCAACAGCAGCACCACCAGCTTCACCACCAGCTCCAGCAGCAGCAGCAGCAGTGGCAGCGGCACCAGATCCACCGTGACCGCCAGATCCACCGTGACCACCAGATTTTCCGTGACCACCAGCAGCGGCAACAACACCAGTAGCAGCAGTTCCAGCGTCTTGAACGGATTTTACAACTTTGGTTTCGGTTTCGGTGACAACTTGAGCAGTTTTAGCAGCAACAGGGGCAGGGGCAGGAACGGTTTCGGCAGCAACTACGATGGGTTGAACAACTTCGACAACGGGAGGAGTAGGAGGAGCAACAGGTACCAATTCAACTTCTTTTTCATGATGGAAAGCTTTGTCTAATTTTTTTTTCAAATGTAGAGGGTCCAATATGGCTTTGCCAAGTTTTTCAGCGAAACTTTCTTTTTGACGTTCTACTTCGACAACGGGTAAAACTTCAACGGGTTTTGACATAGTTTGAAAACCCTAAATTTTACCAAAAAAATTAATCCTCTCTTTCAGAATTTAGTTGTAAATAATAATAATAATAATAATGAAAAACTTACGGAAACGGGTTTGGTTAAAACTTCGGTGAATTCTTCAGGTTTAAATGATTCTTTTCCTTTGCCAAACATTGATGAAGCATCAGATAGAAAATCAAAATTTGGTTTTCCACTGGCGCCATAAATGCAGGCAACAGCAAAAAATACAACAGCAGCAAATTTGTTCATTTTGGTATTACCTCTTTCAAGTTAATCCACAAACTGAATTCTAACTCTAACATTGCGTTTCTATTAATTTTTATTTAAAATCGGTTATCTCTTGTGTAAAATAAATCGACCGATTAAATTATCTTTTCTTCTGCTTCTTCTTTTGTTTATTTTAAAGTAATTAATATAAAAAACAAGGAAAATATTATTATTATTATTATTATTTATTTAAAATCTTTTGACAGTATCGTTTCTTGTAATTTGCAAAATTTCCCAATTTCACGGATTTTAAATACGAGAAAATTAAATCATTTTCCTTTTTTGACATTTTTATCATAGGCCCCCTCATTGTCACTAATAAATAAATTATTATTTTTTTTTTCAAATAGGTTCGTGATAAAATTAATTTCAACGGTTTCGAAGGAATTTGTTAAAAATTGATGAGATGATAATAATAATAATAATAATAATAATGTAATTTATTACTTAAAATTGCATAAAACGAAGGACGAAGGACGATTCCTGTCATCATAAGTCAATAGTAAGGATATTTTTCTTATCTATTTTATTATTTGCTTCCTTCAGGTATAAACTAAGGAATGAATAATAATAATAATAAACCTTTTTTTTTTTTTTAGTTGTCCGCAATAAATCAATAATAAACAAGAAAACAAGTTTTTTTTTTTTTTTCATATTTTTATATGTAAATTGTCGTTATAACGAGTATAAATTTTTTTTTTTATGTTTAATATCAACGTGAGTAGTATGAAAATTTTACGTTCGTTCGTTGAGCAAAGAAGTTTTTTTCCAAAATGGAGATCGTTTGGAGAAACGATGATAATAATAATTTACCCATTTTAAAAATTGATATGATAAACATACGAATGATTGAGTGAAATTGAATCGAATTTTTTTTTGAGATTAAGAAATTTAAAAAAAGAAAACTTTTAAATGGATTGATTGTTTAACGGGCATATTGCATCCGAACCTGTTTTTAAAATTTTTCTTTCTTATTATTATTTATCATCATTATTATTATCATTCAAAAAATTAATTATGAATTGATTCCCTCCCTCGTGATGATGTTGATGATGATATTTCACGGTGGAAAAAAATTCGTTGAATAATTCATTGCCATTATTACTATTTGACTACACAAATTTTATTATTTCATCATTATTATAATTATCGTGGGAAAAAATTTACACGAGATTTTGTTTTTAAAATCCTGCTGATAAAAAATTAATTGATAAGGCCAAAAAAAAACAAAACATTTAAATTTTGGCCAAAGATATCCAAGAACATGGAGAAAAGACTGGAATAAATAAATGTTAAGTGATTAGCAGTAATAATAATAATAATAATAATTAAAATAAATTAAAAAAAAAAAATTAATTCCTAATTTTTTAATAATTTCAGGTATGAAAAGAACGTTTTAGGAAAAAAATGAATTTTATTTGTTTTTTGTTTTCCCGGATTTTATTTAAATATTTATTATGAAAAAGAGAGAGATTAAAAAAGGATTTATTGGTCAAGTTCATTTCATAGAGAGAGAGAGAGAGAGAGAGAATTTAATTGAGGATTTAAAAAAAAAGAAAGTTTAATAGGTCAGTTCGAATTTTTGTTTTTTTTTTTATCAAATGAATTTAATTATAATATATATGTGTCGTGTAACTGTTGATATTAACTCTCTGGAAAATCATCTGGAGAAATTATGTAACTACTTAAACAATATTTTTTTTATTTATTATGTATTAGGTGAACCCTCATGAATGAAATAATCAATCAATTGAAAAAATTCTGGAATGAAATTTAGAATTTCCATAATACTTTGGATTCATTTATAATTTTCCTGTTGTTATCGATTAACTACCAGGTATTTAGTTATTATTATTATCATCATCGTTATTTCTTCCATATTGATGTGATCTCGTGTTGTTTTTTTTTTTTTTATTCGGTTTGGGGAGATAAATTTTCATGGTCGAATTTTTTTTTTTATTTCAAAATTTATTTTCCATTTACAAAAGAATTCAAATTAATGAGAGATTTTAAAAACATAATAATAATAATAATTTATTAATTAAAGGAACAAAATTTTTATTTGATAAAGAAAAAGGAAAAAAAAAAGGAAAAATTACGTAACATTCATATATATATATATATATATATATATATAAGTTACAAGCTAGTGAATTTCCCTTAATAGTTTGTTATCACATTATTTATTTGCTCGTTGTAAAGAATAATTTTAAAAAATTTTTTTTTTTTTTTGCGTCATTTCTAACATTTTGTGTGATACGTTTTTTTTTTTTTTTTTTTTTTTTTTTGAATGTCAAGGTTAAATATTAAGGAAAACAAAAGAAAAAATAAACTAAAAAGAAAAAAAAAAAAAAACTGTTAAAATGGCGTCTTTTATTTAAAATTTAAACAAAAAAAAAAAATTTTTTTTAAATTTTTTTGTTATTTTCATTGAGTTTTCAAAACGTTTTCCAATTCTTTAATAAATTTATTTGCCGTTGATCTTTTCCTTTGTTTAACCTTTTTCTGACAGTGACCGTTAACGTCTAAATCGCACGATTTGATTCCTTCAAATATTTGATTTGTAAATGATTCGCAATTTGGAATCTTTGTTTTTGTATTCACCTGTGTAAAATATTTTCAAATTTGTAAAAATTTTTCCCCTCGAAAATCTCACACAGGTTTACAAAAACCTCTTGCGAAAACATAAAAAGTTATCAATTTCCAAATTAATAAAATTTTATTTATTTATTAAAAAGGAAAAAATTAGTTAGCGAAATGAATGTAAAACCAAATTATCGGAAAAACATAAAATTAATGCGTTAATATTAATTTTTTTTTTTAATTTCAGGGCCCCCCCCAAAAAAATGATGGTAATAATACTTACCTAATTAATACAACTCTCATCTTCTGGTTCGTGAAGGGGGATCCAATTGTTATGTGAAAAATTAATGGATGATGAGTTTTTCATCAATCAATCAGGTACGATTTGTAAAAATTTTTTTTTTTTTTAAAAGGATGGAATATTCTCGAAAATATTCTTTATTCGTCTCCTCCTCTTTTCGACTTAATTCTTACCCCCCTTCCCAAAAAAAAAAAAAAAAAAAGGAAAAAAGGAAAAGGAGAGGAAAATTTAAGGATAAACATTTCGCCTTTTTCTCGATCCGATAAATCTTTTATAAAGTTCTTTTTTATAATTTTCCGCCGTTTCGCTTTTATTAAATTTAACTTGGATTTGACATTTTCCTTGTTCGTCTTCGAAACAATTTTGATCTTTGTCCAATTCGAATAGGCTGTTTGTTAATGATACGCATTCAGGTTTCATGTGAGACGAGTGTACCTGAAAATTCGGGTTTCCCCATATATTGTTATGGTAATATCGGTGTTAAACCATTTAATTAAATATGATCCAGGTTTATTTATTTATTTATTTATGAAACACCCACGTTATTAATTAAATTATGAAAAAAAATGAAAGTTTTGAAGTTTGTTTGTTTCCTTTTTGACACCCAAATTAAATGAAAATTAAATTTTCTTTCTTTCTCTCTCTCTCTCTCTCTCTCTCTCTCTCCAAACAGTAAAAGGTACAAGTTTTTTACCTTGAATGTGAATCCCTCAAAACAAGGCCCTCGAGTTCCTAATTCGTAACAGGTTCCATTTTCTGACGGTGCGAGTATCGAATCTTTTCCAATTAATTTATTTTTTCTTCTGTATAAACTTTCTTCGTAACAGTAATCAGGTATGCATAAAACCTGATCGAATTTTTCCAAATATCCTGTAAATAATTTACGTTATAATATTCAAAAATTAATATTAATCGTTTATTATTATTATTTTTATTCTTTCTTGTTTTGGAAATAATAATTTTCCTGTTTATTATTATTATTATTATTATTATTATTAATAACAAAACAATTATTTAATTTGTTATTAATTTGTTTAAAAAAAATTTACATAAGAATGAAATTTTCTCATGTGCAATAGAAGAAAAAAAAATAATAATAGGAAGTTTTTTTTTTTTAAATATACATATTAAGTATTGTTATCATAGAGTGAAGGCCGTTAACGGTTGTAAAATTATTATTATTATTATTTTTTTTTTTTCTCATAGATATTTATCGGTTCGTGTGAGTGATTTAATTTTTTCCTTAATAATTAAATTTCATTGTCGTTTTTGACGTCTCGTATATAAATTTCAATAAGGAAAATGAAACGATTCGTTTGTTTTTATTTATTTATTAAAAATAAATATGGCGGTGATAAAATGATTTATTTCTCATAAGAATCTAAGTAAGTAGCTCACCTACGATTTGACCCTCACCACATGGCCCCTGTGTGTACAAAGGGTAACAACGTTTTGTAGTATCCCTATTTATACGAACTCGTAGTGGGTCTCTCGTACACATGCATTCACCTTCTCCAAAAACGTTTGTCAATAATTCCTGACCGCTATTTTCACCGCATAATTTTTTTTTATCTTGTGCTTTGACACAGGTTTTTGTTTTACTCCAATACAATTCCCCATTCGAACAATGTTCCTGTGGGATAATTAAAAAAAATTTAAATCCGCAAACGACCCTTGTATCTATTAACCACGTTAAATTAGTTTTGGTATCTTGATCGAAATATCTTTTATTTATCATAACTTAATTTTTTCAGGTCCAAAATATACCTAATTAAAAACATAATGATAATGGAAATTTGGCAAGGGATTTATGAAAGGATACAAACGGGATGACACAAAATGTAAGTTTTTCAAACGGTTTTTAGTACATTTTACATATTATTATTTATAAAATATTAAGTCAACTTGGTGACTTTTACCTCCAAAACAAGCTTATGCCTCTCTCTCTCTCTCTCTCTCTCTCTCTTTTCTCTCTCTCACTTAAAATTATTGATTGAAAATCAATTTCACTCAATTATATGTAAAAAAAAAAAAAAAAATTTTGTTTTTAGCATTGCATTAAATTAGTTTGTCTTAACTATAAGTTATCATTAGGTCATTGTCAACTATCGATGATTATTTTTAGTGCCCTAGAGCTATTTAAAAACCTATTTATAATTATTTAGAATATATTTCATAATGATATTTCTCAACATTCTAACAAAAACTTTCAATAAATATGTGGATTGAGTGGAAAAATTTTTCAGAAAGTCATATTATTATTATTATTATTATTGGAAAGTTGTTCTTTAATAATTAATCGATCAATGACCCAAACATATTTAACATAATTTTTATTTGCATAATCATCAATAGAACAGTTTTTTTTTTTTGGCCAATATTTGATTAATTTAAAAATAAATAAAAAAAAATTAATATGGTGTTGTTTACCCTTGCACATTTAGCTTTGATGATGGTAGTACCATTTAAAATGGTAGTCTCACCAAGTGGTTGTTTGGGTTTTTCCAAAACAAACCACTGACCTCTTCTACAAGGACCGGTGGTTAACAATTTATAACATTTATCTGTTTGTTTGTGGTAGATTTTTTCTTGTGAAAAACATTCGTATTCCTTTTCGGATAAAAATCTTCCATCGAATGATGATTCAGGGGATCCATATAAAAAATAACCGAAAAAAATTAATAGAGAAACACCGTAAATTCCGTTAAACATTTTATTATTATTATTATTATTATTTTTTGTTTTCAATCACAAAAGTTTATAATAATAGTATTTTATTTTTTAAAAAATTAAATAAATTACAAATTATTCACCCCTTAAAAAAACAATAAAATTTGACACTTTGTATAAAGTCACTCAATGATCACCGTAGTATTTCTTTCAATACTCTAATCGTTCATGAATTTTTTTTCGTTAAAAAAATTATCAAATAAATAAATATTTATAGAAATAAATAAATAATACTCGGAGTTTTTCTTTTTTTTTTTTTTATTATTTGTTTATTATAAATTAATAAAAACGTCCGAGTCATTAGAATGACTGACGCGAACTAAAACAAGTTTTTTTTTTTTTTTTAATTTCGATAAGTTGTTTAACTATATAACGTCCATATATAAATTCGTATAAATTCACATTAAGATTAATTAATAAAATTTACATAATGATTAATTGTTGCAAAAGAGAGGAAAAAAAAGTATAAATAAAATAATTCGGCTCATGTTTAACTTACCCGAAAGTAAATTTTTTTTTATTTTAAATAAAAAAAAAACGACGACGACGACGGGTGAAATGTCTGGTTTTTAATTATTTAATTAATTTAAAATAAAAGTTTTTTTTTTGTTTTATCTTTTTAGTTTATCTTTAGTTTCATATTACTTAAAACTTTTTTTTATCTTTCAGAACATTTCACGAAAAAACATATTTATTTACAATCGCAAACACATAATTTCAAAATGCCGACGCACACACAAAAAAAAAAAAAAGGATAGAATAACCGAAAAAGATTATTACGGGTGAGTCCATTTTGACCGCCATTTTGTATCATTGTTGCAAACTGTGTAAAAAAAAAAAAACCAAATTCATTTTTTCGTTGGTGCAAAACTTTCGTTAGGCGGTTTTTTTTCTTTGCTCCTTCTTTTTTTAATCTCTTTATTTTAAGTGAATCATAATAAATTATGTGGTTAAAAAGAAATAAATAGTTTATGTAAATAAAAATGTTGTGATTTCTAAACTTTATTGTTAAATTTAAAGTGTAGAATGGAAAAATTTTAAGGTTGTAAAAACATAATATATTATTAACATATTTTTACACATAGTTTACTCATAAGTTACAGCGTAGTTTTTTGAAAAAAAAGAGCACATAAAAATTATTGCTTTGTTTTTTTAAAAACCTAATATTACATAACATTGTTTAAACAAGAAAATAGTTTACACAAAAATAAATAGGTAAAAAATGTAAAAAAATTTCTTTTATTTGCTTACAAATATATATATTTTTCATGTCAGAATTTTTAGAAGGCAAAATCAAATAATTGATAACATTTAAAATGGGGGGGGGGCTTTATATATATAAAAAGAAAAATTTTTAATTTAAAACTTTTAGTTGTTATTAACGGTTTTAATAATAATAATAATAATAATAATTTTGTGATTTTAATTTGAATTTTTTTAAAGTTAAAATTTTAAACATTACAACAGGTTAGTTATTATGTTTAAATTTAATTGCAATTAAAAAAAAAAAAGCTTTTAATTTTTATTATATTATATTTAATGTAAAAAATTAATGATTTAAAAAAAAAAAAATTTTTAGAGTTGATTATATATAAAAATGAAAGGAGCTTTGATGATATTTGTCATATTTGCCGCCATATTGGTTGTTAATTGTCTTCCAACGACCGAAGATGATGTACATAACCGTGTAAGACCATCTGATTCTTCATACCAATGGAACAATCAATGTAAGTTAAACAAAAAAAAAAATTATGAAAAGGAACAAGAATACAAAAAACTTGTTGGTAAAAGAAAAAAAAAAAATCCTGTTAGTATTGAAACTAAACGATTGGACAATTCCAAAGTCATATATATGAAATTTATTTTATTTAAATTAAAAAATTTTCCATTGTGGACTTTTACCTTTAATCAAATGATTTTTTTTCTTCTTCTTTTTAGTTTCTTACGAATTCATTATGTGTAGATTACAATGCCGTGATAGTTGTTTTAGCAGAGGATATTGGAGAGGAGCTTGTCAAAATGGCGAATGTCACTGTTATGGATACATGGGTGACGATTATCCAAAAATGAACGAACCACCAATGTTACTTTTTTAAATAATTTTCAAAAGACGTTACAAAAAAATTTCTTCTCACGTCTATTTTATATATTTCTTTTTATAATAATTAATATAACGACCAACGTTTTTGTTTCTTTCTTTCATTAAAAATAATTACTATCCTTTTTCTTTATTTCAAACCGTTTCTTTTATTATTATTATTATTGATTATTTTTAATAAATTCACGAGAAGTCATTTAAAATAATATAAAAAGTGAAAGAAATTTTCTTTACTCTTGCTTAACTAATTTTTAAATGACGTCATCGATGAAAATTTTAATTTTTTGTAAATTTTTCAGCGTTAAAAACGTTTTTCGAATGCATTTTCTGTTTTTATTCTTACTTTAGAAGAACAAAAGTAATTATCAGGCGATGATAAAGCATACTTTAAACAAAAAAATAAATAAATAAGTACCTGTTACTCACAGATTGTTGTTAGTACCAGTGTTATTTACAAAAAAGGTACCATTTTATATTTTTCTTATAATAAATATTATTCGTTTTTTAATTAAGATTTGATTTATATTTGATTCATCTTGGATGTAATACAAAAAAAAATTTAACGAATTTAATTTCAAAATTTTTTTTAATTTAATCAAATAATAATTACAATGTTTTACATAAACCGTCACACATAATATGATTATGTTTTATGGTCACTTATTTGAAAAATTATGTATTGATGGGTTATTAACTTATATCATTAATAATAATTAAATTAACAAAAAAATAAAATAAATTATTACCCGTTAAAATAATAATAATAATCATAATTTATAAAAAAAAAGTGAAAATGTGAAACAGAAAAATTCTATTCAAATATTTTAACAAAATAATTAATTATCATAATTAAAAAGTTTCTGAACGTTTGTACTAAATTTAATTTATACGTGACGTATAATAAAAACAAAAGAACTCCCAAATTAGTGACCTTATGAACCCAGTACATCCTGAAAAAAATTGAATGATGAATCATTAAAAAATAATAAATTTAAATTAATTTTTTTTTTATGCACAATTTTCAAATAAATTAAAATTTCAGACTTTTTTTTTTTTGTTGTTATAATTACTAATAATAATAATATACTTTTAGGTATTTAAAAAAGAAAAAATCGAAATTGATTGAAACTTACTTTTGTTGATGTTTTTTGGCTTCTGGTAATCCAATGTTATCTTCATGTAGCAAATATTGTCTCGCTCCATAACTGGCTGTTATGAAAAATTCAACTTCATCAACATCCCTGGAATATAAATAAATAATTATTTCATTATTATTATTATTATTATTAATTTTAATGTTAGTTTAAAATTTATATTTTTATTTATTGATTTTACACTTTTTTATAATGGAAATCTTCAAAATCTTCATCTAATATTTTATCAGCCAATGCAAATGTTTTATCATTTTTAAAACTCCATTGTTGCGTTACAAAATATGCCAAAGCATTATTCGCATGAAATATTTTTCTTTGCAACCTTAACAACCTGAAATTTTTTTTTTTAAAAAAAAAAAAATCAAATTAAAATTTTTTTTTGAAAAAGGTGGCAAAAGTACAATAAGGTGAATATAATATATTTACATGGGTTTTTTTTTGTATAATTTCAATATGAAATCTATTACGATTGCTGGTAAAACATGTAATAATAAAACATTGGCATAATAAATAAATTTACAATTTGTTGTTGTAGCTGTCGGAAACCAAATGATATCATTCAAAGGAACCTGTACCGTTGCATGATGTGCTATTTGAGTCAGTTTTTCTTGCGTTATTTGTTTGATTGCATAAGATGAAGCATTGTAAACAACAAGATCGGGATTCATTCCTCTGGAAAAGGAAAAACGATCAATTTATACGAACAACATCAATTTAATTTTTATTGTAAAGATATCTCGTGATAGGACCAACCTGGAAATACCTTGGTACCAAGCAGCAACAATAATTCCTTTTATGGCAAGATCAACAGGTATGTAATCAGAACTACATTCGGGATTTCCGTATATCGTTCTTATTATTCCTTTACCACTTGCAACTAGCAATCCTACAGGTCCGTTAAAATTATCGATCCATCCGGGAAGAGGTTCAGTTATGCTAGCAATAACTGAAAATTAAAATGCGTTTATAAAAATTTAACTGAACAATACTCAAATTTGTCTTCTATCCTTGAATCAACCAACCTATCGAAGGCCTAAATATAATTATTGGTATCTCATCTTTGAAACTGAGGCAAACTTGTTCCGCTAAAGCTTTCGTGAAGGTATAAGTATTCGGAAATTGTCCCAAAATTTTCGGAGCGTAAATATCTAACGTGTGAGCATCCATGTTTTCGGCTAGTTTTATAAGCTTTTTCCAATCTCCCGGTGCCGGATATACGCACTCTTCTATAACTTCTTTGTGTGTGTTGCAATAGGTTGTCGATACGTATAAAAAAGAATCTAGAAACTTCATTTGAGACGCTAATTTTAAAGCCTCGTGTGTACCTCTCGTATTCATGAGAATTGCATCTTTGAGTGAATCATCGAACCTGAAAAAATTCACGGAAATTAAAAAAAAAAAAAAAGAAAAGTTTATATTTATTTCTTCAGCTCTCACCTTACACTTGCTGCCACGTGAAAAATAACAGAAACATCACTTATCAGAGTTTTCCGGTCTTCCTCGCACAATCCCAAATTTAAATCGCTAACGTTTCCATTTAGTGGTATTATTTTTTTTAATAATTCTTCATCTTTCTTCTAACTT